AGTCTTTTTTTCCTTTCTTTTCACTTGAGTGTCGCTGACAGGGTAGCAAGAAGCACAAAGTATGCCTGAGTACGAGTTCATATACATATATGGTTATTGTATTTTTGTCCTAGAACATCTTTGTTAATTTAACATGTATACACTGTAGATCTATATCCTTGCATTCAGTTAGATTCATTCCACTGTTGTGTTAATGCATGCCAGTACAATCAAGTAGCCAGAATATTATGAGGCTTTTTTTAAATTAATATAAGACTAATGGGATGTTTGAATTGGCATGGAATTAGGTCTCTGACAAAAGCTTTAGATGCCAGTCCAAGTGATGGCTTGCTAATTAAATGTCTAAATGTCATTAAGACCTTGAGAACTAGACTTGATTCATAAAGCTTTTTCCAAAAAAATGTTTCAAGTGCTGGAAGCTGAAAAGAATTAATTGAATGGAGAAAGAGAACTTGTCTTCCTCTAAAACCAGTGGATTTGTGTATTGCTTTGTTTCCATGAAAGAGTAGTTGTCCATAGATGACTGTCTTTATGTTGTTCCAAATCACTCCTGCAATTTTACTTGTGAGCAGGTTGTCTAGGTCTTTTTTTTTTTTTTTTTTCCATAAGTGAAATAGTGCCCATAATGATGTAAAGGTACTGAAGAGTCCGTGTGACAGTCTGGTATGTGTGCAGCAAGGAAGACCTGAAACTAGTTGTAGTGACAAAGCCTGGTTGTAATTCACTGCTTTCTAATTTAGAAGTCTCAGGTGGTTTAGAATATTTTAACTTGTTTGAAAAATACTGGAAGATGTGTCTACCTTCAAGGTACCAGCGCTGCTATGGCTATGCTGCTCTGAATATGGGTGACTTTGGAAAGTACTTGTCTGTTACTTCCTTAGCCAGTGTCTATTATTTAAAAACTTTGTGACCAGTGACATAGGAGTGATGGAGTTCTTTAGAATGCCAGGTAATTGTGTGTGGGTAGTTTGCCACCTGGTTCACTGTTCAAAGAACTATTTTATTCAATCTGTCTTCCCTTCAAGTTTATGGTATCATTTCTGAACATGAATGGATAGTGCTTTTCATTATTTTGCTTCTGTTCTGAATTTTCCAAGTTCTAAATATAATTATATTCCTTCTGTTCTCTAGAAGCCCCATAAGTTTCAGAACTGCTTTATGTTGTGGAAACCTCAAAATCCTTAAAAAGACAATTTTTGTGATAAAGCAATTCTGTTGCTCATAGCCTGCAGTGCAGAGCACTACCAGGCACTTGGACTGGGTAATAAGGCTGTCATGAGCCTCACTACCAGCACTTGCCAGCATTTCAGGAAAGGAAGAGCAAAAACCAGTAAATACAAGAGCATCAGGAAAAGTGTCAGCTAGGTGTAGACTAGAATGCCCCTGCTATTGTAGCTCACTCACTGAAGTCATGCTGTGACTCCAGCTTTTCCTGGAAGTGCTTGGATGTAGTGGAGTGGCAGTGTGCTGTCATAGATGCTGTCCTTTCTATGTGGTGGGCACACATCTGGGCACACAGGGGCAGTTCTGGTCGAGTCACTCATCCTGATAACTTTAGTCACACATGTGTGTGATAGCATAATGAATGTGTGCCACAGTGTGAATGTAATTCCCAAGTGTCTGGTCACAAGATGGGGCAAAAAAAAAATCAAGTAAAGCAGAAAAATAAAGAAGTGAGACTGGAGAACAGCTCATTCATAGTCTTGAATAAGTAAATTTCAATTATTGCCTATTGTGCTTCTGGAGAAGGACTGTGGTTTTCTGTTTGAGTGACAGAAGGGATTTTGTCAATGGCATGGAATCTCTCCTATTGTTTCTTCCTTGTTAGAACAAGTATTACCTACTGTGCAGATTTTTGCCTTTCTCTTGCCACCTGGGGTAATTAGCGTACAAAATTAACTCCTTCAATGTGGTGGGAAATACTTAAAATTCTTGAGCTCTCAGCTTACCTTAATTTTCAGGCATTAAGTTTCCCTGCAAGACCTTTCCCTTCAATTCCTATTTGGAATTTTTCTTTGTGTAGAAAGAATGCATTATGTTTGTTTGGCAGTTTTCTTGGGATTTCTCAGTTTACTTGGGTTTGCGAGGCAAACTTTAAACTTGAATAGTTTGAGTTTTAATATTAGAACATTACAAAATACTTTTAGGAAGGGATTCAGTACTTGATTAGAAATATATACATTTATAAAAGAGTAATGGATCAATGAAATGCAAGTTCATGCTGAAGAGGACCGTTTGTGTCAAATATGACTAAGGGCTGGTGTTCTAGCTGACTTGCACTGGAGATTTTTGAAAATATGGTCTTTTCATTTAGGATTGAAGTATTTGGGTTATGTATTGGAAGAAAAAGTAGTCTTCTAGTACACTTAGTGATGGCGAGCTTTTATAATATTGTTGTGATTAATTAAAATTTTCCCTTCCCATGTCTATAGGGATTGGAATCTAAGATGCAAAGTACACCAGTATCTTAGTTTTTTTAATTGTTACATCTTAACTGTAACTCTGTTTCTACAGTGTTGCAACATGATATTCTTTAATAATGCAATTCTAACATGAGTTCTAAGATTCAGTGCATGCAATTTAAGTATTTGGTTGAGTAGCTTGTGATGTTGGTTTAAGCTGTGAAGAAAAGCTGTCACTGAAATACATATTCTATCTGGATCTATCTAGATCCTGCCTAGGAATTCCTAGAAGGAATTCCTGCCTTCTCAGTTTTTGACAGTTTTTGATTTAAATGTGTTTTTTTCGTTCTTTTACTCCACTGATGCTTTGTTTGTTCTGGGCATTGATATCAGTCCTTTTCTTCAACTGCTTTTTCCCAGTACTGTACTGAAGTAACTTGGATAGTGGTAAATTTTCACTAGTTGCTGTCTCAGATGCTGACTTCATTACTTTGAAGGTACATGGTGATTTCCAGGATTATGAACAGCCCAATGTAAGAGCAGTTTTGTGTGACACCTGAAAATGTGGATCATAGAGCCCTGTTGCTACCTGTGTAGAGCTTGGTACTAGAAGCAGCTTGTCTAGAAATACAATGCATATTTCAAATTTGTATTCCTTTTCTACTCCACAGGTAGATAAATTTTTAAAATGTATTCATGCTGCTTGAATACCAGGCAGAGCAGCTTATGCTTGAATTTTTATCCGCTGTAAGCTGGACTTTCATTATTAGGAGAATATATCATAAGATATTATAGATTTCTCAGACTTTTTTTATAAAAACACCTCTCCAATGAAAGGAAAAACATTTTTTCCACCTCATTAGTGTTACTGAAATTAAGATTTAAAGATGTAATTCATTGAAAACCCCAACAGGAAAATGTTCTTCCTAGCACCCACACCAGCAACACATATTTTAAATTGAGGCTGTGTATTTTTAACTTTCAATAAAGTGGCTAAACTGTGTGCCAAATGAGGAGGGGGAAAAAATTAGTATGCCACCATCGCCTAGAGGCTTGTGCAACAGCAATTCCCAAAGGAAGAGAGACCCAAATCATCTCATGACACATTTTTATGGTGAATAAATAAGCTGAATAGAGTCAGAATGCTTCCAAAACAAAAGCTAACCCAAAAATATGACATGAATAATTATTTGCAATGATTAATATGGCAGTGAGCATAAAAACTTCATGTTGGCCAGGTGTCTTAGAGGGCTGTGCTACCTAAGAGCACAAGTCTATTCTTGTCCTGGTTTACGCTGAGATAGAGTTAATTTTCTTCCTTCTGCATGAGTGCTGTGTCCCACAGCAGCTCATCTCTGCGTGCACAGAAATCAATTAATGGTGAAGTTCTGTATTGGTCCCAAGAAATGAGATAGGGGATTTTCTTTCTTAACATTACCAAGCAATCAGCTCAATCTTGATGGTGTGAGACTTAATTATAATTGTTCCAAGACGTTATGAGCATATGCATACTGCAAGGAATTAAATTCTTGCAGCATTAACTGAAGTGTAAACTTTTGTGTATTTCAGTTCTGGAGTGGATCCCAGCACTCTTCAGTGTGACCCTTACATTAGTGGCTGTAGAACAGTAAAAGCTGATATTTTTTGAAATACCTTGTCTCAACTTGCGGGCTCAATCCCTACTGAACTTTCGTGATTTGATTAACCACAGCAATGTTGGGAAATTAATTTCCAGTCTGTCTGGTCTGTGCTGATGGATCTCTTTAAACTTGTGACACTTAAAAATATTTTCAGTATACAGTGATAAAAAACAGCCTACCTTTTTCTTAACCAGCTGAGCTGTACTCCTTAAACCATACAGCATAAATCTTCCTTGACAAGCCATTTTTATTTGTGGTCTTTCTTCAAACTCCCTAGTAATTACTTTTATCTACTGAAATGTGGAATTTTTTTATATTTTTGAGCATAATATATGTGTCCTCAGATTCCTTGCCAACACTTTATCTTGCAAATGATAGTTTTTCTAGATTGATTTGATATAGTTGTCCTCTTGTAGCTAAAAGCCTCTAAGGCTTGAGCCTTAAATGTTCAAAAGATTATAATTATGGTGAGAAAACTCACAGCAATGACTTAGCAAGATCTTAGTGTTTCTAGACCTTATCACAGCCTTTCTTAATGCAATGGGTTTTAAGAAACTTGTCTCTAGCTGGAAATTTTTTAATCTTAGCAGACTTAGAGAATGGTCACGGTTAACATATGTTTTTTGGTAAAGGTCGTTGCTTACAGGATTCCACAAATATTAACTTCCCCTCTTTTTCAATACCATTGGCAAAAAACATGTTGATGACCTTTAGCTAAATAGATGACCTTCAGCTAACTGATTTATTACTACTAAAATGTCAGAATGCTTACAAGAAATAATCTCTTTCATTAAGAACATCTGGTTCAAACCAAACAAAGAGAGGGCTGAAAAGAAGATTGTGAAGGAAAAGGTAAATATTCCATTGATAGAGCTTCAATTTGTCAGAGTGGTGAAGAATTCTGGGATGCTCCTGGACACTATAAAACTTACATAACCATGTAGCATCTATCTTTTAGCAGGGACCTCTGTCAGCCACAGTGTAACAAGAAACTGACTCTGACCATCCACTTGCACGTGCAGTCATCCATGTGTCATGTGAGTACTGTGCCTTCTTATGGTTAATGCTGAATATGAGGAAGCACCAAATAGGGCTTTATTTTGTAACCCAGGCCACTGCAAGTGTTCCAAGTGTGCACTCAGTGCAAATCTGCCATCAGACAGATCCAGAGTCTGACACCTCCCAAGAAAAATGGGAAAATACACTTTTTTTACCTTTCTTTAATATTTTTCTAGTGTATGGCCCTAGTGGAGAAAAGAGAAAAAGTATGTATTGATGAAAAAAGTCCTCTAGGAATAACCTTCCATTTGAAAAAAAATCACCAGAGAATCTCTGAGGTATGCTGTGGTATGCAGGGGCTATTACACTGAAGATGTTCAGCCTTCAAAACTATTAACAGACTACTGAAACAGAATTACAGATGGGCTAAAAGGTGCAGCAAAGTTTTTAAATTTGCTGGAATCCAAAGCAGTTGGTGTGGGTGGGTTGGCACATACCAACACAGTCTAGTCAGTGGGGTAAGCTGCTCTTGAAAGTCAGCTCATTATCTATCTGATCACTGTGAACTCACTTTCTGCACATTACAGACAAACTGACAAGATTCCTAGCTCACATCTCTACAGTCAGCTTCCAAATTTCTTCAAAGCTTGAGCCATTTAGTAGATTGAGTAAGTATTATCCATGAAACAAGAAGTGAAAGTTACAATATGCAGATACAGTGAACTACCTAACAAGCCTGAAAGAGCTACAGCAGAGGAAATGGAAGTGATATAATGTGAGGATAGTGTGACGCTCCTAATCAGTAGATGAGGAAATCATAGATATTGTGACACCAAGTTGTCAGGTGGTGCTTATTATATAGCTGAGATAGAAGAGTGGATGGAGAAATACACTGGATTAACAGTTGTCAAAAAAAACTCTCTTAATTACGGCTTTACTGTTTTTAGAAAAAGTGACTAATATTGCAGACTGGGCCATGGCTCCACATTAGAGCTAACAGATGAGGGGAAGGAAGCAGTATTTCTCCTTGAATTTTTTTTTTTTTTTTTTCTAATTTCAAGCAAGAAAGCTTCATGCAGATGGAAAAACTTAGTGAGAGGGAAGAAAGTATGAGTGGGAGATGCCCCAGAGAGCAGACTACTTCTTAACAAAAGTAAGGAATTGGCAAACAGTAGAGAGCATTAAAATGTAAAGGATTTAAAGAGCAAGTGTTGTATTTCTGTGCTCTTAGTTATGAAATAACTAAACAGCATGCATTTTTCTGCTTTTCCCATTTAGCTTATGATGCATGTCTGTGGTGTCATTGCTTGTGGAAAAATCTTCTGAAGTTCAGGAACTGGTAGCACAACTTCCGGGGGGGGTGGGAGGGAGTGGAATTTACTACAGTAGTATAGTAGACAATCGGTTCTTAGTACAGAAAATTCCTGTCTTTTTTTGTAGGACTAGTGCATGTGTTCTGGATGATACATTGGGAATAATTACAGAGTTCTTTTCTTCATTCTTTCTTCATCTGCATGAGAAAGGCAGTCCTTTAGGTCCTTGATCCTCAGGTAACCTTTTTCTGATGACCTTTCTGGTGCCCGTAGTTGGAAGTTCCTATAGCTAGGGAAATAATATGCAATATATCTGAGAGAATTTTGATGGAGAAAGTAGGGCTACAGCTCTTAATGGCCGAAACAGTGATACTGATGCCAGTGGGAGCAAGTTATGAGTTTTCTCAAGTGTGTATATACCAGCTTTCATTGGTCCTGGTCTCCTGGTAAGGATGGGCCTCAGAGGAAACCTGTCTTTGTGTGGTAGTGAGAGACGTGAATGTACCTTCACAGTACTAAAGAAAGTAACAAACAAAGAGAGTATACAGCTTCACTGATTTTTTTTTATTTATTTTTTTTTCCCCTATGTAAAGTTGAAAGGCACGAGACAACCTTCAATTACAGCAGCTGCCAAAATTCATCATCAGGTCCTGTGTTGTGATGGAACTTCTTTCTATGTAAAACATATGAAACTTCATCAGTTTATTTTGTTAGTGAAATCTGTAAACTACTGCCTTCCTAAAAAGTGCTGTCTAATACAAGTCAATGCCTACGTCTTGCACTAGAAAGTTCTGAAGGCAAGATCTCAGCAGCACTGTTGTTTCACATTTGCAAGAAATGCCAAAATAGTTCCTGGCACAAGAGAAAGAATTGCTCTCATTACCCAGCCACTCCCTGCCCAGGGTTTCTGAGATAGGTAGTTCTGTGCATCTTCAATAACTAATAATAAAATATCAATCACTTTAAATATATTAAACAGCAAAAAGCTTCTAGGGAGAAGAGCATTATTGCAGAGATGAGGTTGCAAAAGTGGAGAGAATTGTCCCATTTATGAGCCAGCGATGAAGAACCAGAAAACCTCTTGCATTTTCTGTTGTAATAGTTATATAGTTAGATTTTATGAGGCAAATAGATACTTTGGGGAATGTACCTTATATTTCTAAAAATTAAGACCTTAAACCTCTACTCAGAGATTCTAATTAGCACTACTAAATTGTGGGTTGTAACAGTTAATGACAACTTTATTTGGCCTCAAAATGTATTTTTATAAATGCAATGGGAAATACTTACCGCATAGATTGCATCAAAAATTTCATAAAAACTATTGACATTTCCTTTTCTAGACCCAAATTCCCATCTGATTCTTTGAGAATACTGGGCTGTGTAGGCTTCAGGGATCTTGTCCCTGAAGTAGTAATAGAAGTAATTTGAAACTGAACAGGTATCTTTAGATACTAAAATTTTCTGTTCTTTGGATTTGATAGCTTCATGCAGAGATTTGAGCCTTCTAATAGATTTAAAAGGGTGGGTTTATGTAATACCTTGCAGGTATTGCTAAGTCTGCCTTGGTAATGGTTTCTTTCAAAGAGCGAAAAAGTCATCTTGTTCCATCTGCCAGATAGAAAATAACTAGCCAAAAATAAACATAGTCTAAAGAGTTTTTCCTGCATAATTCTGTTCTTTTTTCCTGAGAGCCTGACTTTTTTTTTTTTTTAATCAAACAGTGTTTTATTGGTATGAGTTTTACTAGGAAAATCCAGTACCGCACATAGAAAGCAGTTTTGAGGGAATATATTCACCTGTGTAGCAGTGGGTTGACACCACTAGAAGATGCAATATGGGAACAGTCAAAACATGCTGTTTATTAAGCTGAATTTCACTTAATACTGGATTTTGCTGCAGAGGCAAGTGCATGTGACACAGACCATAAGCTGCCATTTTTATGAAATCATAACAGAATGGACATTGCTATGAGGGAGGAAGGAAAGGCTCTTTCCCTCCCTCTCAGCTGTCATATTGGCAGAAAGCATTAAAGAATTTGTGCTTCCGCTTGTTCTGCAAATAAATTTGGGACTTCAGGCTACAGAGCAGTGAATTTGCTCTGATTGCGGCTCCCAGACTTAAAAAGGATTAACCAGTACGAGGAGTAGCAAAAATCTTTTCATATAGTGGGAGCTGCAGTTAGTTTTTCAGAGCTGCAAATATGCACTATGGTGTGTGTAAATGAATACATTATGTAGCCTTCCATCTTTAATACACCTAGATTGGGTTCTATAAAATTAACTGTACTTCACAATGCTTAGTTTTTCACTTTTACGTGTGGAATTTAGCTTTAAAGTACATAACATTTCAGTTTCTTTGGTTCTCTGGTGTAATTTTTGCACATGTAGTCATTCCAGGCTGTGTGGCACTTCCCACTTCTGAACACTTGCCACTCTTTGGGTTTAAAAATATTACTGGAGCAACTTGATTTGGTATTAAGCTACAACTCCTATTGCAACAACTTGCCAACTGATAACACAGGTGTCGAGTGGTGTCTGTATTTATTTGAATGTACACTAATGAATGTGAATTGAATGTATAGAATTTTAGGATGGAGAGAGCTTCACACTAAAAACTGGGAGCATTTTGGTTTGCTTTTCTGAGGGGTGAGCAGTGTGTGTATCACTAAGATATCAAGTAAGATGTCTTTAGGTCTAATGCCTAGCTAGGTTCTAAACTCTGAACCTTTTAACAGTAATGTGATGTTACAATTGAGGGAGGATGAACTTGGTTGCTGTGAAGTGGATCATAAACCATCATAAACCATACGATTACTGTAATTAATAGAAGCTTTATAGCAGAAAATCATAAAGCCTGGAACACCCTTGACTAATGGCCCAGTTAACTTTGGCTTAAAGTATTTTACTGTTAGAGCTGAAGTGACAGTACCTCTGCAGTTAGCCTGAGCAGTGAAGTTAGAGACAATTTGTGCAGAACTATCCTGAAGGTAGAAGATGATGGGTCAATCATCCGCTTAATCATGAAGATTTGATAAAAAGTTATCTTATAAGGAGCATCCTTTCTGCATGTGGATTGTTGCCTTCTCTGACTGGAAAAAGGAAGTATGAGGAAACAGCTGAAATTAAATTAGTAGTGTTTAAGTAATGTGTGGTGCAATTGCTCACACGCATGCACAGGCCTGCAGTGCCTTTCATTTCATCTCATCCCAACTACGAGGTCCTACATGTCTGCTTGTCTCATGCAAATCCAAAAGATTATTATAGGCAGAATGAAGGATTATAAAAAGGCATATCAGGATGAATGTTTTAATGAGTTATCTATCCTTATGTTCCCTTGTATAAGCATATAACTCCATAATTTATGTAACATACCACAGGGAAGGGCACTGTTCTGCTCTAGGTGAGGAACCATTGCACCTTTTCAGATGTCTTCTATCATGTCTTATTTTGTTGAGATGGGTTGCACTGCCCATAGATCTATTCTTGAGTCATTCTAGGGGAATAAAGAGGTTTAATTTTGTGCTGTTTCTGCAAAGCTGGCTTTTATATCCAAGTTTTTTAAAAGATTCCTATAGCACCTGTTATATAGATAATTATTGGGTTTTTTAAAGCGAAAAACAAACACAAACAGCTGAAATATGGCTTAATTTTTGCTGTCTCTTAAATTTCAGTAGTGTGCTTCTGTGAGGTTTTAAGTCATCCTCACGAACACGTTGTTACATCCTTACCCTTGGAGAGAGAATTTCTGGAAGGAGATTATAAAATAGTTTCATAAATTGATTTCTTTCATAAATTCATTTGTCTTTTAGATTTTTTCCAACTGGTACTTATTGTTCTGATTTAACATAGCTTAAATGTACCATATATTTGGGTTGTTATTAAGCTACCAAGTAGCAGTAACATTTTCATATCTGAAAAGCACATGAAAATAGTGTTTTACTGAACTGCAGAGAAATCTGAGATGCCCTTGAAGGACACGCTTCCTGCTGCCTTTTTAAAACGCAGAGTCTCAGTTTATTTCTAGGTGAGCTGTAGCAGCTTTAGCGCTACTACAAGCAGGACCCCGTTTCCTTTTTTACATGAAAAACGTCAGATGTTGTTCTGGGCAGGCGGGCGAAGGGCGGCAGCGGCTGCCGGTGCGGTGCGGTGCAGCCGGGCGGGTTTGCGCAGCGCGGCTTCGCTGTGCGGGG